ACATTAAATTTAATGTAATGTCATGAAATTAAGTTCAAATTGTGTAATTTAAAATTTAATGAAATTTAAGAACATTTCTAACAGTGTACCTTTAATTTCATAACCACGAGCTTCATTTACATATAAAGGAAACTCATGGTTACCTATTTAACAGTGTATGTCTATAATCTCGAAATTAAAAGTGAAATTTTCAGAATTTCATTCGATTGTATTTTCTCGCGTGTGACGTCGACTTCTTTCCATGAAATAAACATTATTTTTATTTTTTATAAAAATCATTCCTGCAATAAGGGGTTAACGTGTGTGCGCACTGTGATTTTTTTAGCTAAATTCTCAAGCTCTAGCCAAAAAAAAAAAAATAATAAAAGAAACAGATTGCGCGAAAATTACGCGCCGCTCGCAGGGCGATGATACGCGGAGATAATGTGAGAGGGCGAAATGAGATGTCCGAAAGGGGAGAGAATAGAGACATACCGTAGAAGAGAAAGAGAGCTTCTTGTTCATCAGGTTAATCGTACTTTAAGACAACAAATGTACCTTCACTCACAGTCTCGTCAATTGATCACGGCGTTCATAGCCGATTTAACGTGCCAGAACGCTTACCGTACCGCTACTGTATATTAGCCCGATTCGAGGAACTTGAGAATTAAGAGTGGTACCTTTGTTAAACTAATATTATACAGGAAGAAATTAGCAAAAACGTAATAAAATTGAAGCACTTGACCTGTCAGCTACCATTAGAAAGACGAAAGAAATCACGTCATTGCGTCATTTTGCAATTACCTGTAAGTGATCCATTAATACAAACAGATTTACTTTTAATTCTCAGCTCCTCGACCCCCGTCCCGAACAAACTACGCGCGATAGGGGGGCGGAAGGCAAAAAAAGAAGAAAAAAAAGTAGTTAGCTCGCGCCTCGAAAAAGGATCATCTACAAAAGAAGCGATGTATTTTTTAATATCTAGAAGCGCTAGTTCTCCACTTCTCGCGAATCAGTAGTTTCGAAGAATTACGAAAGGAAGAGAAGGATTGCCGCGTTCTCCTCTTATTTTCTACACAATTGTACTCTAGACAAGTTATAAATGCCTATAACATTCGCTGAATCAATTAATTTATCAACGCCTTCTACCTTTAATCACTCTCTTCTGTAAAGCAATATACATGTTCAGATACTGTGTAGGAAAAATGATCGCATAGCTTTATTTTATGCCTGTTCTTTTTAGCTGAACGTTGAAAAGAAAAAGAGAAAAGATGAATTGTGTATGTAAGATATTCAACTAGAAAAAAATAAATCTCATAAATTCAATAAGTATATACTAGTTCAGCTACAAAATAGCATTCGCAAATCTGTGGGTACTTTTATAAGGATTATATAGCAAGGGAAGATTTGAATCTCTTTCAGGGCAGTTGTTTAACATCTGTTATCAATTCAGAGTGATCTCAGAATATATTGATGTATAAAAAGAAAATAGTAAGAGAAGCAATAACAAGATGTCCAACTAAATTCCTCATTGCGTGACGAATCGATTGATCTTACTTGATGGCAAGTTTCTGACATGAAAGAAAATTCTTAAAAGATTTCCGAAAGATTTCTAACAAAATTCTCGAGAGATTAATTGTGAGTACTAATTTTATTTCGGAGGACTCCTAAGAAATTAAATATGGGTTGTATTTTCATCTAACAAAAAAACCTGATTTTCGACGACAGAGAGGAACTCTTCAATGTATTTAAATCGATCTCACCTGCGGTATCCAGAAGCTTTATAAATGATTCTTTATTCTATGTAGGTATGAAACACATAGTTATTCCAATTCGTCCTGATGTGCGTCAAGAAATTACAAGAAAAAAGTTACAAAAATTCTATCGATTTTGGGATACCAGAATATACCTTGGTGAAAACCTCTCTCAGAATTTTTTATCATCAAGATACTCTTTTATGATCTATGCAGATGCTCTTGCAATCAGTCGCTAAATATATCAATTTGCACATGGCTTATAAACACTTGGAAGGTCCCCGGTACGTTCGAACGAATGTTAAGGCATTTATGACATAATTAGCGTACAGCAATGACGATCATACGCTTCAAGACGAAATGTAGAGAAGAAAAATAAAAATACACGAGCCGTTGAGACAAGATCCGCGACAGAATATCTTCTTCAGGGGGATGTGAACAGCTTTGTTTCTCGTACATTTTAAATCGTACACAAAAGCACGCTATATGATCTCAACTTTGCACGATGCCGGTGGAAAGAAGTGATCGATATATACGTGTATTATTTTTCTGCCGGTAGCCGCA